CTCCTCCTCCCACTCCTCCCCACTCCTTACTCCTCTCCCCCCCACTCCCCCTCCCACTCCCCCTCCCACTCCTCCTCCCACTCCCCCTGCTCAGGTTGTGAGCTTCTCCCTCCTCCACGATTTCCAGACGCCTCACGTGTTCAGTGGAATATTTTTCAAATTCTCCTAAAAAGCACAGCATCCTGGGTTAGTCAGCTTTTCTTTGCTACGACCAAGATGTCAGACAAGGAAAAGCTAGAGGAGGGAGAAGTTCAGAGCCTCAGTCCCTGCCCTGGCCGACTCCATCGCTCTGGGCCTGAGGCGAGGCAGACCATCATGGCGGAAGGGCTTGGTGGAGGAGAGCTGCTCCACTCGTGGAGACCAGGAAGCAGAGAGAGAGGGAGGATCCAGGAGCGAGGTCTAGTCCCCAAGCCATGCCCCCAGTGACCTACCTCCTCCAGCCTGTGCCACATGCCTACAGTTGACACCCAGTAGAGTAGTCCTTTCAAGTTACTGGTCCCTCCAGGGTCACCCCACTAGCAGGCTGCAGCTCTCGTGGTTGCCCAAAAGCCCCACCTCCAAGCTTTGCTCTCTCTGTTTCCAAAAATGAGCTTCTAGGGGGACGTTTTTAGATCTAAACTGTAACACCTCCATGGCAAAGCTCAGCCCGCCCCTCCCTGGCCCCTGCAGGCAGGTGGCTGTGCAGGCAACTCAGAGACGGATGGGTGGAGGGCCCAGGGGGGCTCCCTGGGGGGGCTCGTGGAGGTCAGCCTGCGGAGGTCTGACTCAGGCCCCCGACACTGGCCGCGTAGCATGCAATGTGACGGGTGGCCTCTGGTGTCTTCCCTGTCACGGGCACCCCCTCACGTCCACCTCTCAAAGGACGGCAGCCCCCAGTGCCCTCCTGAGCCCCTGCACCCTGGCCCTAGACCGCCAGCGATCTCCTTTCTGTCTGCTATGGTCAGGATCTGGAGTGTCCCCCAGAGGCCATGTGCTGAGGCCTGGCCACCAGCCTGTGGTGCTGCTGGGAGGTGGAGGAACCCTTAAGAAGCAGGGCCTTGTGGGAGGAAGTTGGGTCACCGGGGCTTGTCCTTGGAGGGGCGGTTGGGACCCTGCCCCCTCCCCTCTCTCTGGCCACCACGAGGTGCACGGGCCTCCTCCACCACATGCTCAGAGCAACACCACCAAATGACCATGCGCTGAACCCCTGAAGTCATGAGCCCCCCAAAACTTTCTTCCTTAAAAGCGGATGATCTCTGGTATTTTGTCACAGTGTGGAGAGCTGACTGACACGCTGTCTCTGTCAAGCTCCCCCTCTGGACACCTCAGGTGGGTAGAATGGTTTCTTCTGCTTATCATGCTTCCGAGTTTCACTAGGGTTGTCCCAAGTGTCAGACTTATTCCTTCTGTGGCCAAGATTTTCCCATGGTATGGACAGGCCACTTTTGCTTGTCTGTTCAGCTGTGTGGACTTCAGGGTTGTTTCCTCCTTTTGGCTATGGTGACTGATACCTCTACAACATTGCCAGTTCATTTGGGTGTCTACCCCGAGCATGGTTGCTAGATCCCAGGGTGACTCTTTCACCTTTTGAGAACCTGACAGACTGTTTTCCAAAGGGGCTGTGCCATTTCACATCCCACCACCAGTGTCTGGGGTGCAGTTTCCCACATGCTCACCAGCACTTGTCACCTGTCTTCTTGGCAGGGTTTGGAAGCATGAACAGGAGTAGGACTTCCCGAGAGACGGCAGCCCAGGGAGAGACAGGCGGGAATCACATAGAAGGTGCCGTGGGACCAATAGCATTTGACACTCCTAGGGAGTGAGATGGACGCGGGGAGCTGTGGACACCCGGGACCCCAAGTTATCGGTCATCATCATCGTGGATGCCTGGAAACTGCTGATGGTCCAAGTTTGTGTCCTATTAGCTCTTGACCCCTGCAGAGCCGGGGTCCGTGCTATTATGGCCCCATTTCTACACCCCAGGAGACGGAGGCCAGGGCTGGAGGCTCCGCCCACTGGAACAGGGACAGAAAGCTGCAGAGCAGGGTTCAAACTCCAACCCTCAACAGTGACTTGACACGGCCCCTAAGACGTCACCAGGGCCGACTAAGCACAGAGCCACAGGAGTTAGAAGTGTGTGAGGATTCTGGCTGTGGAAAGGCCCAAGGCAGCGTTCCTGGGGCGAGCAACTCCCAGGGCTCACAGACGCCCTGTTCCCCACAGTTGGAATATTCTGCAGTTTCTCCCAGGAACTAGTAGGATGACGGACACATGCTCAGTGCCTGGCTGCTAGGGTACTGTCCTCCGTGAGGAGGCTCTGTGCTAGAGTCTTACCAGCCTCCACCTCGATCTCGGACACTCAGCTTCTGGATATAAAGACCTCTCTCAGACAACACCAGTGTGTCACCAGACCTAAACCTGCCCTCATGACAGTAACGTACACAATGAGCAATATGTAGTAATGACGCCAATGACCTAATGTGACCTATGGGTACAAATAACGCTGGCAGCTCAGACGAGCAGCCCTTTTTACTTTGCCCCTGCACCTTGCTTGCTTCTCTCTCTCTCTCTCTCTCTCTCTCTCTCTCTCTCTTTTTTACATAAGTGTGGCCCTATGACAGAAACGCACCCCAGTGGTGCCTGGGCTGGGCGAGGGGCGTGGGAGTGATGGCTAATGGGGACAGGCTTCTTGTCAGGTGATGGAAATTTAGGGGTGATTGTGCCTGACTGTGCCACCCTGAGACCCGTTCTCGTGGGAGGACTCATGGCTGTGACCGCATCTCAGCTACCCTGGTAAAGAAAGAGTGTGGCCCTCACCTGCCACCTGCTCGCTCGGCACCCGGACGAGGAAGCCAGGGTGGGGTGAGGAGCTCCGGTTTAGCTTCCCTGCTGCTGTGACTAGAAGACCTGACAAGAACCATTTTAGAGGGGCTCACAGTTTCAGAGGGCTCAGTCCACCGACGGCTGGCTCCCTTTCTTGGGGCTCAAGATGCGGCCGAACATCATGGCAGAGGAGTGTGGTGGAGGGGAGGAACTCAGGACGTGGTGCCAGGAAACAGAGTAGACCCCAAGGCTCGCCTCCAGGGACCATGTCCTGCAACCACACCCCCTCAGTCACCCTCAGTGATCCCTACCAAAGATGAATGCCTGACTGGGTTCAGGCTCCCATAACCCAGTCATTTCGCCTCTGAACCTTCCTGCGTCATCTCACACGTGAACTTTTGGGGGACACCTCATTTCTAGACCACAGCAAGCACAGAGGTCCTTCCTGGTTGGGGATAGGAGGGGAGGACGAGTTGTGAGCTCGTGCCTGCCTGCATAGATCCCAGGGTGACAAGAGCCATCGAGGCCTGAGCAGGAGGGATGTGAGGCTGACCCCCGCCCTCCAGGCCCCACGCCTCAAAGATGCCCGCCACCAGGCCCCGCAGGCAGCAGCACGGGCTGATAGGACAGGAAGGAAAAGCTCCTGAGAGCCGACTGCTTCTGTCTAGCCGTGGGCCCACTGGAGGGAGGGCGATGCCCACATGCCCCTTTCCATTACTGCAGAGGCCCTGGGAGACTGACCCCTGGTTACAACCTTCTGTCCCAGCACAAGATTTGGCAGATTTTTAAATAAACCATGGCTCTCTGCAGTGGGTCTTTCACACGGAATAACCACGCATCCCGAGCACCCGATACACTCCACGCAGGGGGAGAGGCGTTGGCCCTCCACTGCCTGCGCTGGCCCTGGACAAGGCATGGCCCCAAATAGCCCATTCCCTGTGTGTTCTTGGCCTGATATTTGTTTTCTCCCCAGGTCAGGCCTGTGCACGGACCACACAGGTACCCCTCTGCAGGCCCGTGTGTGAGCAGCGTATGCATGCCTGTGCACAGGAGTGTGTAGTACGGGTGTACACTGTGGGATGTATGTGTGTAGCCTGTGTGTTGTGTGTTATGTGTAGTTGTTAGTCTGTAAACAAGTCAAGATGGCGCCTGGCAAAATGCCAGAGGGAGTGGTTTGTGAAGTAACGCCAGCGAGCCACTAAGTGTGGAGATTCCTTATTGGTTAACTGCTGTATTGAATTTATGTTAATTAAGATAAGCTGTGTGGACTGTATAAATACCTCTGTTGTCCTACAATAAAATGGCTTCCACTCCAGCTGTATCAATCTACACAAGTTTTTCGTCACCCCCCGCTTAGTTTGCTGCAGCCGGACTACGGCATGTAGTAGTGTGTTTGTGTCCATCGCATGTGTATTTAGTGTGTGTATATGTGTGGTGTGAGGTGAGTAGTGTATGTGTATGTCACATGTCACGTGTGCATGAATGCATGCGACATGAGGTGCACTTGTGTGAGCATGCACACGTGGGTAATGTGTAGTGTGTATTGTGCCATGTGTGCATGCACGCATCTCTGTGTTACTTTCAGTTGCCAGGTTTCTGTTCTTGTGACTAAAAGGCTCAGGGGTCACTCTAGTTAAACTGGGCTGACTGGGCTATGCAAAATAACCACACAAGAGACACAAATACCTTTTTTCTTTGGGATCACTGTGACGGCTCCTCTGACCTTAAGGGTCCACAGGAAGAGGGAGATCGAGATTACGTGCTGACCCCTTTTATTGAGGAGAAGCTATTCAAATGAGGCAAGGGGTCAGGTTTCAGGGGGCTGAGTCTATCTTCATGATGTCCACTGTCAGGTTGACTGACACCTGGGTAGGCCACACCCAAGGGCACAGTAAAAGAAGGGGACACACACAAGGCACTTCCATGGAAGATTCTATCCTGAACAGGACAGGGGTTATATTACAAAGGAACAGGTGAGCGTAGCCTCACCCAGGGGCTGTAGCAAGACACACTCATGCACGAGACACCGACCCTCGAACCAAGAAGGGTGGGGAAAGCTCTGCCACATTTCTGTGACTGAGCGCCTCAGCACCCAGCTGGGGAGTGTGACCCAGTCACGTGTAAGGTTGGTCCCCCGCATTCAGTGGTTGTGTGTTGCCTGTTTTGCTGTGTGTGGCGCTGTGTGTAGTGCGCATGTGCCGTGAGTGTTGCCGCAGCCACAGTAACAGGATGATAACCATGAAGTGAAGGCCACCTGCAGTAGCCTCAGGATCCTGAGGAGCCCCCAACCCAGGTCCAGGTCAAGAGTCCTGGAGTGGGCGAGCCAATCCTTACTTGACAGATGAGTGATGGACACAGAGAGGTCTAGTAACTGTGCTATGAAACTCAGCAAGCCGGATGCAGAACCGGAGCTCACATCACATCATTTTGTCTTAAAGGAAGAAAAAAGAAACGTCACTTGTAGTCTGGTGCCTGCCACTGGTCTTTGCATCCTTAGAGGATATTTCTAGCTCCCGAGCATGTCCAATTTTATACCTGTGGTGGGGACTCTGCTCTGTGGGTCCTGTCTCACTGGCATGAGAAACATCTCAACGCAGGGACATTCTTGTATCCCGGCCTTGACCCCTGATTTCCTTCCAGAATTCTTCCTGGGTCGCTGGCTTCTGGCCCGCTGCCTTGAGGAGCAAGTGCTCGAGGTCCTTCGTCCAGCACCCAGCCAGCCGTCCGCTCCCCTCACCACAACGCCAGCACCTGCTGAGTACAGGGGGCTGGGCCCCGGGGGCTGTGGTCTGGGGGGGCTGTAGCCTCAGTGCCCCAGCGAATACTGGACAGGTGACAGTATCCAGAGCTGGGGCTTCCGTTCCAGGAGGAAATGGGAAGAGGAAGGTGAGTCCATGGAGGAGGTACTGGAAGTCACATAGCAGCGGAGGGCAACAGGGCAGGGAAGAAGGTGGCCAGGGGCAGAGGGGACCAGTGATGGCTTCCCTGGTGACATTACAGGAGACCAGCACAGAGTGCCCATGGCGTGGACTATGGCACCCCGGGGCCCCATGGCCAGGTGCTGGGAGCAGCTGAGAAGTCATGGCTGTGAGGGCCTAAGGGACGCTGGGTGGCCAACATGCTGACCAGGAGGCCCATTGCCAGCAGGGAGGTTGAGAGTGGAGTGGAGGCCACCTGAGGCTGGGGCCGGGGAGAGCTGGCTCAGTCCCATGGTGGACATGCTACAGCATGCCACTGCACAGAGGGACTCAGGCCAACAACATCCTGCGAACCCCAACACGCCCAGGAGAGGGGGCAGGTGCTCACACAGAGAGTGGCAGACGCTTCTAGGGAGGGAGCACTGCACCCCAGACCCACAGCCATCAGCCACCAGGCCATGCTGAAAAGGCACAGACCACAGGCGCTCCAGGAACACCCCTCCCAACAGCACCTGCCTAGGACCCCAGGCCCTGTCCTCAGCATGCCACAGAGTGACCCGCAGGCCACCTGGGGACGGACCCTCTGCCCAGGAGAGCAACAGGCTGCAGATCACACCTGTGAGGAGTGACACCTGTGACCACTGTGAGTGTGACCAGTGACCATTGTGAGGGGTATCCCTGAGAGGTGAGCCCCTGTGAGGTGGGTCCCTGTGAGGTGCGTCCCTGTGAAGTAGGTTCCTGTGGTATGTGTCCCTGTGGTGTGTGTCCCTGTGGTATGTGTCCCTGTGAGGTGTGTCCCTGTGGTGTGTGTCCCTGTGAGGTGGGTCCCTGTGAGGTGGGTCCCTGTAGTATGTGTTCCTGTGAGGTGGGTCCCTGTGGTGTGTGTCCCTGTGGTGTGTGTCTCTGTGATGTGTGTCCCTGTGGTGTGTGTCCCTGTGGAGTGTGTCCCTGTGGTGTGTGTCCCTGTGGTATGTGTTCCTGTGGTGTGTGTCCCTGTGAGGTGTGTCCCTGTGAGGTGGGTCCCTGTGGTGTGTGTCCCTGTGAGGTGTGTCCCTGTGAGGTGGGTCCCTGTGGTGTGTGTCCCTGTGAGGTGGGTCCCTGTGAGGTGGGTCCCTGTGGTGTGTGTCCCTGTGAGGTGGGTCCCTGTGAGGTGGGTCCCTGTGGTGTGTGTCCCTGAAGTATTTGTCCCTGTGAGGTGGGTCCCTGAGGTATGTGTCTCTGTGAGGTGTGTCCCTGTGAGGTGGGTCCCTGTGAGGTGTGTCCCTGTAGTGTGTGTCCCTGTGAGGTGAGTCCCTGTGAGGTGAGTCCCTGTGAAGTAGGTTCCTGTGGTGTGTGTCCCTGTGAGGTGTGTCCCTGTGAGGTGAGTCCCTGTGAAGTAGGTTCCTGTGGTGTGTGTCCCTGTGAGGTGTGTCCCTGTGAGGTGTGTCCCTGTGAGGTGTGTCCCTGTAAGGTGGGTCCCTGTGGTATGTGTCCCTGTGGTATGTGTCCTTGTAAGGTGTGTCCCCGAGGTATGTGTCCCTGTGAGGTGTGTCCCTGTAAGGTGGGTCCCTGTGAGGTGTGTCCCTGTGGTGTGTGTCTCTGTGAGGTGTGTCCCTGTGAGGTGGGTCCCTGTGAGGTGTGTCCCTGTGGTGTGTGTCTCTGTGAGGTGTGTCCCTGTGAGGTGGGTCCCTGTGAGGTGTGTCCCTGTGGTATGTGTCCCTGTGGTGTGTGTCCCTGTGGTATGTGTCCCTGTGGAGTGTGTCCCTGTGATGTGGGTCCCTGTGGTGTGTGTCTCTGTGAGGTGTGTCCCTGTAAGGTGGGTCCCTGTGATGTGGGTCCCTGTGGTGTGTGTCTCTGTGAGGTGTGTCCCTGTGGAGTGTGTCCCTGTGAGGTGGGTCCCTGTGGTATGTGTCCTTGTAAGGTGTGTCCCTGTGGTATGTGTCCCTGTGAGGTGGGTCCCTGTGGTATGTGTCCCTGTGAGGTGGGTCCCTGTGGTATGTGTCCCTGTAAGGTGGGTCCCTGTGAGGTAGGTCCCTGTAAGGTGGGTCCCTGTGAGGTGTGTCCCTGTGGTGTGGGTCCCTGTGGTGTGTGTCCCTGTGGTGTGGGTCCCTGTGAGGTGTGTTCCCATGGCCGCTGTGTGCTGCTCCCCACCGCCTGCTAAGGCCTCCCACAACCTGGCCGGTGGCACACCCAGCCTTACCCACCCTCTCTGCCCACAGTAGGCGCGCCCTGCTGCCTTTCTTCCTGCCCCCCGACCCTACACAGGGCTGCAAGGCCTCTGCACCCCGCTTTCCCCATCCCACACCCCTGGGGCTTCTGTGATGAAATCCCACTCTTACTGAGGTTAGGCTGTGTGTCCCTGTCGGGTAGGTGTCCTATGAGGTGTGTCCCTGTCACTCAGTCTTGCCCCTGGCAGAGCTGAGCTCCATGGGAACTTGTCCAGGGAACATGGGAAGGGAGGCCACCCTGAGAGGCGCTGGGGCCACGACCCGGCAGTGCAGGCTCCCAGCCCAGGTGTGTTAGTGTCCTAGGGCCTCTGTGACCAATCCCCACCAACTCGGGGGTCACAAATAACAGAAATTTATTTCTCTCACAATCCTAGACCTCAAAGTCCAAAACCTGTCTTCCGGGGCCAGGAGGCAGGAGTCGGTGGGGCTGAGCTCCCTCCCTCCCTGCCTCTCCAAGTAAGTAAGGCGGCAATCCCGCCCAGCCATCCAGAAGGCACCTCTGGGAGGGTTCCAGCCCAGCACCCCAGGGGCACCTGTCTCCTCTCCAGGCCCTGGCCCTCAGCTTCACTTCCTGGAGACCCTGGTCCTGACGGAGAACAAAGGAGGTGGGTTTGAAAAAGCTGGTCTCAGAAAAGGGCTCAGCCTGATTTGGGGACTCACTAAGCCTCCTCTGGCCACAAGCACACTCTCAGGGGGCTCTGTGCTGTCAGCTGGAGGGTCAGTGCCCAACTCGGGAGGTCCCACGTCAGCTGAGGTCCACGAATCTCCACACGTCCACAGGAAACGCAGGCGCCTCCACACCCTTCAGCACCTGGCCAGGTGTGGCAGCAAGGAGAGAGAGAAACAAGGAGAAGAAAAGCGAGTCATTTTCCAGTGTGGCGGGTTATGAGTGACATATTCTTAAAAGCGCATATCATGATCATCACGGTTATATTTGCATAGAGCAGAGTTTTTTAAATTGCCATGTTTTAAATAAGTAAGTAGCACATTTTATTTGTTTGTTTGTTTAAAAACAAGGCTGAGTTTGAGTGGCTTTTCCCTGCAACAGGCCAGGTTTTTGCATAATAACTTATAATCACAAAATAAGGAGATGGCCACGGGGCCTCAGCACCAATGAAGAACTAAGCCAGATGCGAAGGTCTCTGCTAGGCTCTGACAAATGGCACTTTAAGGGAGAGAAACATGACAGGGGATGACAGGTGTTTCTAGGAGCACCAGTCAGCACAGCAGCTCTTGGGCTGCCTAGCCCACACCCTGACCACCCTGGGGAAGGCCAAGGTCTCAGGGCACACACTGCTCAGCCCTGGTACTCACAGACCTGGCACTCATGATGAGGACAGAGGCCTTGCCACTCCTTCAGAACCAGCAGACACCAGCCATGCCTGGTGGTTCTGATAGGTTGCACCTACAGTTTCCAATGGGTGGTCTTTATCACCAGGCACTTGACAGAAAGCAGATGTTGAGCAGAAACCCAGTAAGTACCATGGGGCTGCCTCTGGATCAACTTGGCCCTCTGCCTGTTCTTGTAAATAAAGCTTTATCAGCACAAGTCATGCCCCTTTTTTATACATTTTCTGTGGCCACTTTCCTGCTATAGCCACAGCTTTAAGTGGTTGTGACAGAGGCTCTGTGGTTCATAAAACCTAAGTTCATATGGGGCTGGGGATGTGGCTCAAGCCGTAGCGCGCTCGCCTGGCATGCGGCCCGGGTTCGATCCTCAGCACAACATACCAACAAAGATGTTGTGTCGGCCGAGAACTAAAAAAAAATAAATATTAAAAATTCTCTCTCTATCTTTCTCCTCTCTCACTCTCTCTTTAAAAAAAAAAAAAAAAAAAACCTAAGTTATTTGCCATCCATCCCTTAATGGGAAAGGTTGGCTGACCTCTGCTTGGTATGATGGTAGGATAGGGGCTGTGCCCAGAGCAAAGGGAGGGTGCCAAGCATGAACTTTTGCCTCGGACCAGGCACTGGGTGCCACCCTGTCTATGGTGTCACTCATTAATCCACACCAAATGTGAAGAGAAGGTCTATGACAGCTCCATTTTCCAGGTGAGAAAACCAAGCAGAGAGCACTTTAGGGATTTGTGCAGGGCCACAGCGTCGGTACATGGCAGAGCCAGGATTCAGACCCAGGCATTCAGGAGCAGTCACCCGTGGGGCCAGAGACTGGCTCCTGAACCTGCCAGCATGTGCCCCTCAGAGGGGACTGGAGCCAGAGTGGCTGGTGGCAGCTGAGAGTCTAAATGTAAAATGTGCTGCAGGCAGGTGCTGTGACTGATGAGAGTTCCCAAAAGGAAGAAAAGAAAAGCAAACGGCCCTCCATGGTGAAGATGCTTGATTAACGGGGTTCTCTTCTTTGCCTGTGACTGGGACTCCCCAGAGCCAGGCCCTGAGACATGGATTTTGCTGTAAATGATTTGTTTGGACACTGATCCCGGGAAGCTCGTGGGGGCAGTGGGAGGTAAGGCTAGCTGTTGGCAACCTCTCAGGCATGTGGGGAGGGCCTGGGGTACCCATCCTCCAACTCCAGGTGCTTGCTCACAGAGGCTCAGCTGGGAGTCCCCGGCCCAGGCTGACCAGAGCCCAAGGCGGTGCTCTGGGGCTGCAGCAGGACGTTGGTGCATGGAGCATTGAGTACCGCGGGGCTGCAGCCAGTCAGTGTGGCCCCTGTGCCCGCAGCACGAGCTGCCCACGGCTGGTCACAGATGCAGATCCTGAGCCCTGCCACATCATAAGCTGCCTGTTAAAAGCCCATGGAGATTGTCTGCATGTGGTTGTTGGAGCAGGAGCTGTCTCAAGTTGCAGATTCCTCTCTCTTTTCCAAAAGGTAACCACGGCCCCAGCCGCACCTGGTGTTCTCTGATTCCACCAAAAGCTGCCGTCTGTCTTGAACATGTTCAGGGTGGGTCCTGATCTTGGTGGAGGAGGAACACTGGAAGCCAGCTCTCTGGGGCCAGGGGGATGAGGATTCAATCGAAGCCACCTGACATATGCGGACGCTGAGGCGGTGACTCTCACCCACCAGGTTCCAGACAACTCTCTTCTCTGCAAACACCTTGGAGCCCCAGGCCTGCGGGGGAGAGGCTGTATCTGCCTGGCAACCCCACTCTCCACACAGTGCCTTGTGGGCTGCTCACCTCCACAGGAAGGCCCAAGAGGCCTCAGAGCCCTGGTGGGCCTGCAGCTACCGGATGTAGCTCTGCTTGTCCTCCTTGGGCTGCTAAATGTACTTCTGGAAGAAAGGGACAGAGATTCTGAGGGTCCCCTGACCTGGGTGAGTGTTCTCTTGTCCAGTTCCCTAGAGTTCTTTAGGTGGTCTCAGGAGGCTTCTGCTCACACATTTCCAGGGGTAGGGGCCTCACTACTTCATAGCAAGTTTATTCTTTGTTTAAATAGCCTGCAACTTCCACCCTGCTGGGGTGGTCTGAGGGCTGCAGGGAAGGTGTCCCTGCAGGGACATTAGACTTTCATTATCTTGCATGCAAACATGAGCACTTTCCCTGTGCAGGGTCCTGGACTGGATATGGCGACATAGAGACACAGCAAACCCTGCCAGGCCCAGGGACGCTCACCAGCTGCCCCAGCTGCTCTGTGTTCCTCTACAGCGGCAGCTCTCTCCTTCCTCCCCAGGCAGATCCTGCCTCTCTTTCAGGCACCACAGATCACCTTCATCCTCAGATGGGTCAGGAGCTTCCTGGATTCCCCTGGCCAGGAATTCTTCCCTTGGGGCCAGACACCAGCACCTTGGATTGCTTGTGTCCACACGGGGGCTCTCCACCCCCTGGACTGCAAGTTCCTTGAGGGCCGTGGTGCTGAGACACTGATGGGTGGCTGTTGGAAAACTCAGAAATCTGGGGTGGGGAGGTCTCCCTAAGAGTACTTGTCAGGTAATTAAAACTCAGCAATTACTTCATGCCATTGGTAGTTTGATATAACCAATCAGACTATTGAGTGTACTTTGTTTAAAAAGCACCAGTGGGATGGCAGGTCCTGGTAAGCTGTGGTGCTGACAGTTCCTCAGACCACCTCTCTTTGGGCTCCTGGACTCTTGCCCACTGGCCTCTGGCCTCTTCCTGCAGAGACTCACATGGCCAAGTGGACGGCAGACGATGGTGCAGGGCACAGCTTTTAAGACTGGACTTCAGAGGAACCCTAGGCATTCAGGAGGCGGGCTGGAGGGAGGATGTCTGGAAGTGAAAGCAGTCACTCCTAAGCCCTGGGTTGGAGGTTTTACATCCCATTGCATAAGAGCTGCCTAGGCTCTGCAACCATCCTGCTCATTTGCAAAGCCAGTGTGATTTGGTGTCTGCCGGGCAGACTGCAATGGAGGGGCTTGGGCGCTGTACTGGGTGAGACTAACTGCCCTCTCCCAGCCGTAGCACAGCGGCTTTGCTTTGGTCTGTTTCACATTTTAGCATGTGCGTGCTGGGCATACTCCCCTGTTCCCCTTGTTTCCTTCCAGATGGAAGGAGTGCCCTCAGCTTTCCCTCCTGGCCTCATGTGCCACCCTCCCCTCCACCCCAGAGAAGGGGCCCATCTGAGTGACAAACCTGGGAAGGGCAACTAGAAATCCTCAACAGTGTCCCTCCCTTCCTTCTCTACCCTGAGATCTGCTGCCTGGCAGAGAGCCAAGGCTCAGGACTGCTCTTGGCAATGTGGCCAGGGCCTGCCCTGCTCAGGACAGCCGAGTTGTCCAACCTGGCCCTCTGCCAGCAGCTGGTACCTGATCCAAAGCCATCCTCCACCTAGGTTTTTGAGAATAAAACTGGCATTTTAATCAGACTGGCTATTGGATAGTTCCCAATTTGTTGCAAACAGGGTTGGGAGAAAAGGCGTGTTATGGATTGATTCCCCTACTTTGCAATCAAGAAGAGGTTCCATGACCAAACAAGTTAAAACTGCAGAAGTTTAAAGAAGCTCATCTAAGGCTCACTGCATTTGACCAAAGGAAGGACACTCTAGAGGCAGGGCACTGTATTGCCTTGGGACAGAGGTATGCCTAGAAGGGGCACTGGAGGGCTGCTTGGAGGAGGTGACACTGGAACAGGCAGGGTTTGATGAGAAGGTGGAAGGGTGAGGGTGTTGGGAATGACATTGGTCAATGACACGTGTTTCCTGGTAAAAGGGCTTGGAATGCACCCCCTAAGAGGATGCCTGCAGCAGGTGAGCAGGTGCTCTGTGACAAGGGAATCTTGTCAACTAATTCCCTTGGTGGAATTAGTTGGAGAGATGCTGCTGGCTAGTGCTCACACCCTGGGACCTTTGTGCCCATTAGTCCCTTGTCTCTCCCTGTCATCCCCATCCCAAGATAGTGGGGACATTGTCTCTCTTGCTTTCAGTTGTGTCCTCAGCATCTAGAACAGTGTGCAGAGGCCCCCACAATAGTTTCTTTAAGTGAACCAAACTACATCTGATGTACCTGAGAGTGCCGCAGGGAAGAATCTATTTATTTTGGTCTGTTCTGGAATCTCCTGCACTTATGTGACAACTCAGCTATGTTCCATGGACCGTCCATTCTGCCTAACCCGTTTAGGAGGAGCTGGTCATTGATTGCAGGGCTGGGGTGGGAAGCCCCACACGTCTGCATTCCAGAAAGCTCTCTCCGGCTCCAGGGTGAAGAGGGCCTAGGAGGGATGGTCCCTGCTCAAGGGTGCAGGCTGCTGGGGCCACTCTGCAGACGGGGACTCCCCCCACCAGGGGAGTGAGACTCACTCACTTTTTCGCTCCCGATAGCTGTGCCCACTGAGTGTCCACTGTTTTCGTTATTCTGTAAAAGGCAGGCTGAGATGTTGGGCCTGCAGCTGGCCCCTTTGTGTTTAGGAACATCTCATATCTGTGCCTAGGAGTACTTGCTGCCCTGAGAGCAGCACCCAGAGGGGTCAGCAGCCTGGGTCAGTTATTTCCACTGTGTGGTTTTCATAAGAATAAGTCACGATTTGACCCATATTTTTCAATTTAACCAGAAAAATGGAGGTTAATTTAAGGAAAGAAAATACTGCTGTGGTCGGTTCACCCAGAGTCCAAGGAAAGGCCAAAATCCAGAAGAGGGCTCCCAGGGGCAGGAGTTGTGCACAGGTGGGTGGCCGTGTGAGACAAGGCATATGTTCCCATTCCTATTCCCCCAGGTCCTGGCCGTGACGCCCCCTGCTGGCAGGCCAGTGCTCCACCCACCCTCCCCATTAGGAAGGCCACAGTGGCAGGGAGAGTGAGAAAGGCTTCAGCTGGAACACTCCCGTGATTTAGAGGAATGTGAAGAAAAGACCTTAACTTTAGAATTGTGTGTGTCCTGTGCATAGAAACCTATACAAACTTCCAAAGGAACAGGAGCAGGTCACAGGGAAGGGGTATGAGCCTTGACAGAGGTCAGCCAGCTTGCCAGGGCCACAGTGCACCTGTGCCTTCAAGCCCCGAATGGGAACCAGACCTTCTATTCCCAAACCTCCCCCTTTCCTGCCCACCACCACACCCAGTTCATACAGAACTATAGCTCAAAGAACCAGACAACCCACCCTGCTCCCCCTGTAGTGTGGGCCTCCTCAAGGGCCTGAAATGAAGAGAGGAAGGCTGAGATGAGATGGTGGCCTGGTCCTCACGGGAAGACCTGAATGGACTCTCACTTTGGGCCAGCATAATCTCCCTGCATCTTACTCTGTGGTCGGTGCACGGGAAGTGGGCAGGACCCCTGGGGGTTTCTTTCCCAGCCTTTGCGCCAGCCCCCTTTCCCTTTCTGAAACAGAATTCCACAGAGGAAGACCGTCAGTGATGGCTTAGCATATCTGAATCCCAGCCGACAACTGTGATGGGGACCACCAACAGGGGCCTCTCGCCCCATACAGGCCTCTCACCTCCTAGCAACTCTGCAGAGCACCAGTGATCGTCCACTTGAGGGGAGACTGGGCAGCTCCATGGTCACCTGCAGGTGTGGAAGTCAGGACCTTCCCTCCTGTCCAAGCTGCAGGATGCAGACCAAGGTGTAAGTTGCTGGGTTCACAGTGGGGCGGGACCTGGCTGTGGTGCTGGGGTGCAGCAGGCAGAGGGCTGACTTCTGAGCTTGACAGATGCCAACCCTGGGTTCCTGTACCAGCCCTGCTCCCACCTGTGGAATTTGGCAAATTATTAGTAGCCCATGCCTCAGTCTTGCAATCATAAATGAGGATCGCAGTTGTCACTACCTCGTGGGTTGTAGTGAGCATTGACTGTGACAAATTTTGTGCAGTCCTGAGAACAGAGCCAGGCCCCAGTAAGTGCTTAGTCAGTATGGGATGTTACGACACAGGCCCTTCCTGCACTGAGCCAGTTCTCAGGAAGAAATCCAAGCTGCAAGTACATTTCATTTATGGACTTACCAAGTATTAGAGCCCTCACTGTGGTCAAGTCCCCATGGATGGCTGGAGGCTAGACACAGGCCCTGCCTTCCAGTGGCTCATTATCTGATGGAGAAGGCAGACAACATATCAAAAATTGCAACAATTCACTATAGGGGTTGGGAGTTACAGAAAAACAGCCCAGATGTCCCTGTCTCAGGTCTCAGTTTCATATTCTCCTAAACCAAACATGCATGCAGCAAAAATGGTGGAGATAATCAAAGTATGGCCTTAGAACCCCCAACTCAACCATATCAGCTTCTGGGTTTCCAAGTTCCCTCGCCAACTTGCCTACTTGGGCTTTCTGGGCAGGAGACACAGTAAGCCTTAGGTCCAGCAGGTGGGGGGAGTGGTGCTGCAACTGCCAGGTCACATGTGCAGGAGCCCCAGGACAGAGGTGGGCTGGCCACATGCAGGTTAGGCAGGGTCAGGGCATTAAGGAGCAGGTGGCAAAGCCCAGATAGTGACGTTGTATGTTAACAAGATAATGCTGCAGAGGGAGCCAGGTGGCAAGCACAAAGTAGTGCTCCATGAATGACATCCTCACTGGCAGCTCCCGGAATCTGCAAAGGACACTTTTAGCACCCTGGAGAGCTCCCCTGCCGCTGGGTCCAGTCTCATTACTGCTCACCACTGGGGGCCATGGCCATCTCTACCAGGGGCTCTCAGATGCACAGGTCCCAAATCTGTGCCTTTGTTTTAGTAACTATGGTTTCTGGGTAAACTAAGAAACCACATGCCCCACTTGAAGCAGATCACCATTCCATCCCACAGGAAGGGACAAAAGACGGTGTGCCATGGCCATTAAGTGGCACTGCCAAGCCTGGAAGCACACTTAGGACTTCTGTTAGAGCTAGAGCCCTCCAAAGGAGACCCCAAACCGCCTGGGGTCAGGCAGGACATGGGCCAGGTCAGCTTGGCCCCTGTTAGGTGGCCACCGTGTTCTCTTTTCCTACTTAGCTCCTCTGCTGTAGCACCAGAGAAGCGTTTTGTTTTGTGTAACCAGAGGGAATATTTTAATACATTTTACTTTAATTCTCCATATTCTAGTATTTTAAGTAAAAAAAAAATCAAAATAAATGTGCTTATCAAGTTAAGGCCATCCTTAACCCTTTGTTTTAGCTTCCTTATTAAAATAAAAATTCTTCTGAGTGGTTTCTTAGTTTACCCAGAAACCATAGTTACTGAGACAAAGGCTCTTGGGCAGGCTGCTGGGATATTTTTCTCAGAGGCTTTTTGTTCTTGTTGAATTTCTCCTGCAGGATTTATGCTAAATTGCCTCTGCCCTAAATAGAGCCACACAGAGGGCTCTGCGTCAGCAAGTGCGCCACCACGCGGACAGCACTGCCTAGCGAGGACCTCGGCTACAAGAAACAGGAAAGTGACAGAGCCCTAGAGGCTGTTGTTCTTGTTTGTTTTTAAGAATGGAGCTAACAGCGCTGCAGAAAATCAACTGATGGACAAAAACTGAAGAGGAAAAAGAGTCCATCCAGTAAGGTCTCCATGGGCACAGACCTTCTATGCTCAAATCACAGGGGACAGTGACTTTTAGATCATTGGCTTTTCAGGCAGGATTTTGTTTCACAGAGAACCCTGCTCCGCCACTCTCTGCACCTGTTGCCTGGGGAAGGTCACTAGACCTGTCTGAGTCGGCCTCCATCTGTGAGGTGGGCCTGGCCCATGGTGAAGATCACACAGGGAGGATCAGGCAAAGGGGACGGCGCCATTACTTATGACAGTGCTGGCTCCAGGAGCAAGGGCCTGGGTTGCACTCCACACACATTCTTCTGTGCCCTGGAGTCTGTTAGGCTCAGCCACCCAGTGACATGACCTCTGCATGTCAGACACCCATAAGTTACAGCAAACCCCTGAAACCAAGCGCCACTTTGCTGGGACACACATGGAGAGCTCTGAGGGAGGCTGGTGTGGAGGAGACGCCCCCGCCTGTCAGACTTGACTCTCACCCTTCTCTCGGGGGAGCATTATGGCTAAAAGTGTGGGTTCTGGACCCTGAATGTGTGGGACCCAACAGCAGCCCCATGGATTGGTTGCTCATTATTGGCCACACACATCACCTGAGGCCCTCAGTTTCCTCTTTAATGAATTAGGGAGAATTCCAGACCCACTGCGCAGGGCCACGTCGAGATCTGTTCACCCCACTCCTCTCTGCAGAGCGCCTGCTGTGTGCTGAGCACCGTGGACATCAGCATGCAGAACAAATATCCCTGGCCGCTGGAGTTTACATTCTGGGGAGCAGGAAGGAGGCAGTGAAAACATGAAGTCCTCCAGGCGGTGCCTGGCCTCAGCAAATGTTAGCTGTTATTTCAGAGGCATTTTAAATTGGCACATTTGTAGCTGTCTATCACTGGAAATGTCAAGAGTTGACTGCCATCAACTTCCTGACCCCACCATTCAGGAAGGAGGCAGGGCAAGGACTGTGACCTCACTGCACACTGGGGAGGGAGGAGTGGCAATGGCAGGCTCGTGTAGCTAGGCCCATTAGGTGCATGCATAGCCATGGTTTATAACCCCCACCCCCCACGTGTAGATGGGGAAACTGAGGCACGGGGAAGCAGAGTGATGGTGATCCAGAACCATGCAGGCAGGGAGAGGCCAGGTGAGGTCTTGAGCCCGGGTCTCCTGACTGCCAGCCCCAGGCTTGTCCCCTGCACCACCTACCACAGTAGGTGCCTCTTCAAATGTGACCCCATCAACCAACCGTACCCCTATTTAACAAGCCACAATATGAAAACACCCCAGGGCCAAAACGACCCCAAGAGTAAGGAAAGACAGGAAAGAACCCACAGCTTTCCCTAGGGCCACCTAGGAAGAGGAAGTAGGCAAACAGCCAGGACCAAACCCAGAGCTCCAGGATGTCCTGGCCTGTCCCCTTTCTGTATCCGTGTGGCCAAGCTTGGTCTAGACCTCAGGGCCCATCACTCACCTGTGCTTTGAATCATAACTCATGCGTGTGGCTCAGAACTTCAGGTCCCCAGGGATGGCAGTGGAAAGGTAGAGCTGGCCCCACCCTGGCCCTGAAGCTCCCAGATCCTTTCCTGGAGGCGGCCTTGGCCAGGGGCTCTTCCTGGGAGTCCAGAACTAGTCTGCACTTCTGTCCCCTGGACAATGGCACACCACTGCCCTCAGGTGTGTCTTTTTCTGGGTCTAGAGCCCTTTCTGTGCCAGCACATCCCCAGCTGCCAGTATCCCAGTAAAGGCTGTACCATCTTCACCGTGTGCATAGGCCACAGTGTGTTAGCAGCCCCCGGGGTGGCCCCAGAGGTCGCTCCTGGTCTCACACAGGTGCACTTCATGTGTGTGCTGAGCTCTCTATGAATGAGCTTGCCAGGTCAAGCAGCTCCTATGTTTGTGGTCCAGAGGGACCTTTCTCCAGGGCTGGGCCCTGTCATTACCCCCAGCAGGCTAGGGCTCCCAGGCGAGGTACCACTGCTTCCCTCTGCTCACATCATCTTTAGCTCCCTCTGCCTGGGGCAGAAAGCCCAGGCACCCCAGCAGGACATTCAGGACTCTGGAGGACCAGGCCTCAATTCCCCAGCCTCACACTCATCCAGCCATATAATCAACTCTGAAAGGTAGGGATTGAAATGTGTGATCATCAGGCCCTTTATATATCTTCTCCCATTTAATCTCAACCTTGACTCTTATTACTATGAAAACATCCATTTTGCAGATGGAGAAACAAGTCCACAGAGTTCAATGATTTCCCAAGTGTCCACAGCAGGGGAGGGGCAGATAGGACCCTCTACATTGGCCTGCTCTCTTCATCTCACCAACAAGTAGAAATCCTCTCTGATCAAGCCCACTCCCAAACCCTCACCCCAATGAGACAACCCTCAGATCTCCCTATGTTGACCCTTTTCCTGGGGTCCAGGCAGGAGGATCCCACTGGTAGACTGCCCCTGGCTGGTTCACTCATACCCCAGATAGAAGAATGAGCTGCCCGGCCCCAGGCAGGGGCTACAGAAACAACACCACATCTCAGTTCCACCAGACGTAGGACTACGGTGATTTCTTTGACCAAAACTCTATTGTCAGTGCTCAGGAGTGCTTCATGACTTGGCCAAGATGGCCAATTCAGAGAGCAGCACCTGGAACCCAGGCCTCTAGACCACTGGACAGTACACTGGTCACACCTATGACTCAGATGGCTTTGGGGCCTGCTCTGCCAACCTGAGATGGGATTACTAAGGGGGAGTGGTGATGGGATTAAAAGGCCAGAAAATAACCAAGAACTGCTCTTACTCTACCTTCAAGGTCCACCTGGAACCTGAGAAAATTGTCTTTGAATTCAACTTTGGGCTGAAAGGCCACCAGCCCTCTGACAACAGGGGCACATGGTTAGATTTCCCCTTAAATATGCTGCAAGCGAAGAGATCAGGATTGGGGTTTTCTGCATAATGAGTTCTGGGCAGGAACCTGACCTTTCCAGCTCAGTTTCAACATCTGCATGGTTGGCGCCACGCATTGACCCCATCGATCGTGGTTTGAGTTTAATTTGTGCCCTTAAAGACCTCTAGGGCCAGGCTCAGGTCAATGAACGACTACTTCAGGTTCTCACTGGGCTTTGGGACAGTCCCCTCCGCCAGGTTCTTGTTGGTGTCACATGGGACAGGTGAGCGCAGTTGTGCTGAGGGCATGCCCAAAGCGCCTTATCAAGCGCTACTCTTAGGACGAGAGTGGCCTAGATTGCGCTTTGCCACCCACTCTGAGCAGCGGCGTCACCAGTGCGCAGCCTGGATATGCCGGCCGGTCCCCACCTGCCGCTGCGCGCCGATCCTCATTAGCACTGGCTGCCGTGGGCGGCTCTGGGCCGCGGGCAGGAGGGGCGCTGCCCCAAGTCATGTACCAGGCACCTGCGCCACCAGCCAGGGCACAGGCCCGCGTCAGTGCCCGGGCCTAGAGCGATCCCAGGCATCCGCACCGGGCCGCGGGGCTGGGGGCCTCGGGGACACCTGAACCCTCTCGGGAACCACCTCGCAACGCTGGGGAGCCGGAAGCGAGCCACAGAGGAAATGGAGACGCAAGTCCAGCCACTGACCCGCGGCCTGGCCGCTGTCCCGCTGCACGTCGCCAGCCTGCCGGGGCTGCCACCCCACGCCTGGTGAGCGGGGCCCCCAAAGATCCCGGCTGCGGCCCGTGAGCTGCGGCTGGGGGTCGCGGGTTCCGGCCACGCGGGACCGGGTCGCGCGCAGGGCGGGGTGCGAGTAGCGCCCCGAATCCTTGGTTCCAGGCTTTGCAAACAGCCAGGGGCGGGGCCTGAAAGTCGGGCAGATTGCGGGCAGGGCCAGGCTGTGGGCAGGGCCTGGGATTGGAAGCTCCGCCCCCGCCGGCTGCTCACCTGGGCCATTCTAGCCCTAAAGTGCTGCTACAAAATGCTCCCAGACAGGTGGTGGCGAGGAGGATGCCGTCTAATCTAAATTCTTCACATGGGTCTGAATAGATTCAGATTCCCAAAAATACACCGTACATGATCGCTATGGCAAAATTAGAAAATCCAGCCAACCACCACCTTCATATTAAAAAACAAAGTTAAGAGGCTGGGCCTAGGGCTCAGTGGTAGAGGGCTTGCCTTGCATGTGTGAGGCACTGGGTTCAGTCCTCAGCACCACATAAAAATAAATAAAGCAAAGGTGAAACATAAAAATAAATAAAGCAAAGGTGAAAAGAAACAGAATTAATATACTTTAAATGGAAGTTTAAACATTTAGAAAAAACCTCAAGCTCCACCTTGGCAGTGCTTCCCTGTTTGCACATTAACTCCCGTGGTAATTTTTGAGGTTGCCTATGTGACGCCTGGTTCCCTGGAGCCAGACGGTCTGGGTTCATCAACCTACCTCTCCTGAGTGGCCATGGGCTGGTTACTTTGAGTCTCTGGGTCTCACTTAACTCTGTTAAGTGGGGCTAGTAATCCGGCCCAGATAAGAGGATTCTGGGATTAATGAGTTTATATTCCTAAAGTACTTAGGAAGCATTCACCAATTACCTTAGCTGTTATTACTGAGATCTCCCTCCACAGTAATTACATTATAGCGTGATTCAGCCACATCATACTCCCCCAAAGCTCTCCACTTCAATCCCTTGTTTACTTTTGTTGTTGTTGTTGTTGTTGTTTTGTTTGGTGCTAGGGATTGAACTCAGGGGTGCTTAACCACTGAGCCACATCCCCAGCCCTTTTTATTTTGTTTAAAAATTTTTGAGAGCTGGCGTTGTGGCTCAGTGGTAGAGTGCTTGCCTGGCACCTGTGAGGGACTGGGTTCTCAGCACCATAGAAAAATAAATAAAGCATACAATTTGATGTTTAAAAAATATTTTTTGAACAGGGTTTCACTGAGTTGCTTGGGGCCTCACTAAATTGCTGAGGCTGACTTTGAATTTATAATTCTCCCGCCTCAGCCTCCCAGGATTATAGGTATGTGCCACGGTGACCAGCCCTTCTTTACTTTTTAAACCAACCAACATCTTCAGCAAATGAGTTACTAAAGCTTTCTGTTCCTCAGTTTCCTTCTCAATAGAATAGAGTAGTATTTAAAGCTTCCCAGGGATGTTTGAGAGTCAAATGAGACGCTGCAAGGGGTGAATGAGTACAACAGGTCAATAAGATGGGTATCACCTGGTCAGTAAGAACCAAAACAATGGCTGTTATCACTGGGTGTTCAGGAGAGAGCCCAGAGGGCTAGTGCACCCAAGCCTTTCTTCAGGGAAGCAAAAGGCCCAGGAGAGGCCCTAACACTTACCACAAGAAGCTCCTTCTACCTGCGCACACATCTTCTCAATTCTGTACTGCTGAGTGTGGCAAAGACACACTGAGATCCACCTACTCACAATTATGAGCAATTAATAAATAAATCAGTAAATCCTTGAGAACAACTGAGAAAGATAAAAGAACCTTCAAGTTCCAAAATAAAAGAACCTTCAAGTGAGACTCGTGCTGTCCTGCATCAGCCCCACAGAACGCCACTGGGAGTGATCAGCATGGTAAGGACATGCAGATGGACAAATAGATGAGGACAGAAGATGGAGCCAGAGTTAAGCTGAAACGTGTTAGATTAATGTATGACAAACATAAACCTCTGCTTGATGAAAAAGAATGAATTAATAATACATACGGCTGGCTACGGGCTGGCCATCTGAAAGGGGAAAATGAACTCCACTGTATTCCAAAAATACAAGTAGACTCTCAAGACCTAAATGTAATAATAAGTATCTTGTAAGGACAAGGAAGCTTGGGGTCCCACAGTGTGGTCACGTGGATTTGCTCAACTGATGAAAACATGGAAACAGGGATTATTTACAACAATCTTAAAATGTGTGGCTAAATTCACAGGAAAGTCCAAGGATCAAACCTCTTCCCCCAAAGAGGAAAACCCAGCACAAAGAGTGGCTATGAACATGGAAATACGACCTTGCTAATTAACCAGCTACAGGAACCTCAGATTGGAGGGACGAGTCCTGATGAGGACGAAGGACAGAATCTATTTATCTCTGCTGCTTCTGGTGAAAAAACGTAAAAAATAATGGACACAGTCTTTCTTGAGAATCAGAGCAGAGGATCCCTCCAATGTGTGTCTGAGATTCAAATTTATACTCCCCCAAGGTTTAGTCAGATCACTCATGGGCTGGGGTCGTGGCTCAGTGGTAGAGCGCTCGCCTAGCATGCATGAGGCGGAGTTCAGTCCTCAGCACCACATAAATGTAAAATAAAGATATTGTGTCCACCTAAAACTAAAAAATAAATATTAAGAAAATAAAGATCACTCATGACACTATTTAAATAGTTACTCAGTGGTAGAGCCCCCGGAGTCCTGAAAAACGATCGACAATGCTCTCTTCCTGATGGAAGACACTTTTCTACCCAGGCCTGCCACTTCGGGCCACATCTGAGCTCAGTATAAAAATTATTCAACACACAAAGAAATAACTCAATGTAAGTGAGAGTCAGCATAAATGCAAACAACAGGTTTAGATCCTCAAGCATTTCTGATAGTAGGCACATACTTCACAGAGAAAAAATAATCAAGTATAAACGCATTGGATTTTTTAAAAATTTAAATGGAATAAAGTTCAAAGACCAAACGTCAAATAAGATAACCAGAAAAATTTGAAAAAGAACCAAACATTGTGTAATAAGAATACAACACCTCTTTTTCGAGGCGCCTTGTGGGCGATCAGCTGCTCCAAGATGAAGCTGAACATCTCCTTCCCAGCCACTGGCTGTCAGAAACTCATTGAAGTGGATGATGAACGCAAACTTCGTACTTTTTATGAGAAGCGTATGGCCACAGAAGTTGCTGCGGATGCTCTGGGTGAAGAATGGAAGGGTTATGTGGTCTGAATCAGTGGTGGGAACGACAAACAAGGTTTCCCCATGAAACAGGGTGTCTTGACCCATGGCCGTGTTCGCTTACTACTGAGTAAGGGGCACTCATGTTATAGACCCAGGCGAACTGGAGAGAGAAAGCGCAAATCTGTTCGAGGTTGCATTGTGGATGCCAATCTGAGCGTTCTTAACTTAGTTATTGTAAAAAAAGGAGAGAAGGATATTACTGGACTTACTGATACTACTGTACCTCGAAGACTGGGACCCAAAAGAGCTAGTAAAATCCGCAAACTTTTCAATCTCTCTAAGGAAGCTGATGTCCGCCAATATGTTGTCAGAAAACCCTTAGACAAGGAAGGTAAAAAACCCAGGACCAAAGCACCAAAGATTCAGTGTCTTGTTACTCCACGTGTCCTGCAACACAAGTGCCAGTGTATTGCTCTGAAGAAACAGCGTACTAAGAAGAATAAAGAAGAGGCTGCAGAATATGCCAAACTTTTGGCCAAGAGAATGAAAGAAGCCAAAGAAAAATGCCAGGAACAGATTGCCAAGAGATGTAGACTGTCTTCTCTGAGAGCTTCTACTTCTAAGTCTGAGTCCAGTCAAAAATAAGAATTTTTATCGGTAACAAATAAATAAGATCAGACCTTCAAAAAAAGAATACAACAAATAAAACAAAACCCTTAATTGATGGGTTACTTAGCAGATCATCTTGGCTGAAGAGACAATTAGTTAACTGGAGGACACAGACTGGAAGACATTACCCAGAATACAATTCAAAGTGGGAAAGAAATGAGAAATAGCAAAGAGGTTTGGATAGATATGAGAGTCTCACATTTTTCTAATTAGTTCCAGAAGGTTGAAACAGAGAAAACAGAGGAGAGGAAATATTTGATGAGATAGTGGCTGAGAATTGTGCATAATTGTTCAAAGATACCGAACTTCAGATCTAGGAAAAAATGTGTGCCAAACAGCATAAATAGAAATAATCTTCATATATGTCAGATGAAATAAGTAGGCATCAGAGGACTCAGAAACAGTAAAATAAAGAACACAAACATTGTACAAAAGAATAAAAGGACCCTATTTCACCAATTCTAAGATACACCTTTTCCTGCAGCTTAACACGTCTGAAGTTGGTGCAGCCTCACTGCAGAAGGAGTCTCACAGTCGAAACTGAGACAGCTCTTTTTTCTTGGTGGATGTAAACTAATGGTGGGACATCTATTCAGTGGTATCTCAGGATGAAACGGACTGGCCACAGACTTGTCAACAGCAATCACAGAAACCCAATGAGAGAAAACTAATCTGTTCAAGGTGTGAGAAAAAATAAAGTTAAGGGATTTTCTGTCCATGAGGAAAAACCAGATACACCATTTATAAAAACTGTTTTTAGATATTGGAAACAGAGCAGATCAGTGAAGCTGAAAGAAGAGGAGCCAATCAGGCAAAATCTCTGATGACCTGCTTCCTTGCTGGAGCCCCTTTCTTGACTGAAGCAGGAGGAGGAAGCAAAGCAGAGTGAGATGGTTTTACTGAGCTGAGAAGGGATGGAGGCCAAGGGAGGCCCCTGCAGCTGGGTTCGAGAAGCAGAGGACCAGAGGAGGGAGCTGGGCACAGAAAGCTCTAGGACTCTGCCCTGGGGTCCTCTTGAATCTCTGTGTGAATAAGCCAGGCACAGATTAGGTGGCACTTCTTGAGTCCAGGCAAAGAAAAACCCATATGGAAGCGAGAAATTGAGTAACTATTGGATCTCTGAAACATGGAGGAACACATGGGTTCCAGTCAGCTGCAGTGGAAAGACCTTGTTGAGTCTCCACAGCTCTTAGCAGAAACTGCCCAGTGGCCACGCCTCAGGAGTAGGGCTGACCTAGCTCGAAGGTGAAAGCAGCCCTAGGACGCACACTAACAGAGACCAAAACTAAACTCCAAAAGCATCAAACCGCAAGGCATGGTGGCACACATCGGTAATCCTAGCAGCTGGGGAGGCTGAGGCAGGAGGATTGTGAGTTCAAAGCCAGTCTCAGCAATTTAGCAAGGCTCTATGCAACTTACCTAGACCCTGTCTCTAAAAAGAAATATAAAAAGAACTAGGGATGTGTGGCTTAGGGGTAAGCACCCTTGGGTTCAATCCCCGATTCAAAAAAAAAAAAAAAAAAAGCATTAAACTGATGCGATTACATAATAATTAACTATCTAATAGAAGCCAAATATTCTTTAAAGGAAGAAAACAAAACTAAATAGTAACACAAAATTCACAATGTCCTGAGTCTACTAAAAGCTGGTTAGCTGAGGCTGTAGCTCAGTGGCAGAGCACTTGCCTAGCATGTGTGGGGCACTGGTTCAATACTCAGCACCGCATAAAAATAAATAAAATAAAGGCATGCTGTCCATACACGACTTTAGATCTATAAAAAAATTTAATAAAACTGACTAGACAAATAAGGAAACATGAAAATGTCAACATGGCTAGGGAAAATAAGTTAATAGAAAGCTACTCAGATATTAGATGATGGAATTGGCATTCAAGGACTTAGAGAAGCTACGATTCATATAGTGAAGGCTCTAGAGAAAAATATGAAACTAATGGAAAGATAAAGTAGGATAAAACAAAGAACAACTGGAACTTCCAGAGCTGAAGCATGCGATCCAGGACATGAAAAATCCCTCAGACAGGCACACACAAGTTGAGAAGATGAAAAGTAAAGCAACGGAGAACCCGAAAATAGAGCATCAGTAACTCTACAAACTGAAACAGAGGGGAACAGACAAAGGAAGGGTAAGCCCCAGTGACTTGGGGACAGCACCAGAGATTACACGTAATTGGCCTTGGAGATCGAGCCATAGCCAAAAAGAGTGTTTGAAGAAATCAAGGTCAATGTGTTTGAATACAAAGATCCAAACAGCTTAAGAAACATCAGGCAGTGCCCTCCAGTACTACGCACCTGTGCCCACCACCACGTGTGCTTCGCCAGTGCCCACTTCATAGTTGGAAATCATAAAGAAGATGATAATCTTAAAAGTAGCCAGACAAGATGTTACATAAGACATCAGCAGGTCTCATAGCTAAGTGTGGTGCTGGCATCCAGCTTGACAAATAGATCAGTGGAACAGGGAAAGAGTCCAGAAATAGATTCAAGTACATGCGGTCAATTGATTTTTTTTTTTTTTTTGTACCAGGGATTGAACTTAGGGTAACTCGACCACTGAGCCACATCCTCAGCCCTATTTTGTACTTTATTTGGAGACAGGGCCTTACTGAATCGCTTTTGCTGAGGCTGGCTGTGAACTCTCAATCCTCCCGCCTCAGCCTCCCGAGCTGCTGGGATTACAGGCCTGCGCCACTGTGCCCAGCAATATTTTTTTCTGATATTTTTTAGTTGTTGATAGACCTTTATTTTATTCATTTATTTATATGTGGCGCTGAGGATGGAAGCCAGTGCCTCACAGATGTCAGGCAAGCACTCTACCACTGAGCCACAATCCCAGCCTGTGCCTGGTGATTCTTGACAGAGATGCAACGATAATCCAGTAGAGAAAAGACAGACTTTTCAACAAGTGATATTGGAGCAATTGGATAGCCAAACATGAATTTCAGTCCATACCTTTAACCATATATGAAAATTACCACAAAATGGAAGATAAACCTTATTATAAAACATAAAACTGCCAAACTATCAGGAAAAAAGAAGAAAATTGTTTGGCTTGGGGTTAGGGTAAGATATTTTATAAATGAAACCCAAAGTATGAGATGTGGTTAAACAATGAAAAGGCCAACAAGAGAAGGGGAGAAATTACATCACACACACACACACACACACACACACACACACACACACACGCACACACATGCACACATATGTACATAGGTATAGATGCAGTATAAATACATACATAAATTCAAAATATTTACAACTCAATAAGAAAAAACCAACAATCCCCTTTAAGAAATGGTCCAAAATTTAAAGAGACACTTCACTAAGAAGACATAAAAGTAATAAATAAGTACATTAAAAGATGAGCTCATCATTCATATTGAAAATCAAGATACAAATTAAAAATCTGATGACATACACGAGATTGTCACAGAGTCAGCAGCTGACCGTGCCAGGTGAGGAGGTGGGAACTGCAGCCCTTATACAGGGCTGAGAGCCGTGACCCCATCTTTTCACTGTTCCATCTTTCTAGACTGAAAGGCCGGCCCCACCACCACTCCCTGCCCAGCTTCCCCGGCCCCGGGAGCCATTGTTCTCTCCTGATGAAGCCAAGTCCTCTAGGGACCTCGAGTAAGTGGAACCATGAATCACTGTCTTCAGGATTGGCTCATCTCACCTGTGTATGGTGCCCATGCCCCGGCACTTGTTAAAATGTCCTTCCTTTTTAGGGGTGACGAATACCTCTTTGAATGTATCTACCACGTGTTTATTTCTTCATATGTACACGTGCTGGTACGTATGGTTGCTTCCATTTTTAGACTGCTGTGACTAGGCCGCTATGAACCCGGGTGGGCACAGATGGGCACATACCAGCTCAAATCCCTACTGTTATTTCTTTAGGTATACCCAGAAGTGAAATTGCTGGATCATATGTTAATTCTATGTTTATTTTTTTTTAAGGAACTTCCATACTGTTTTCCAAAGTGCTACACCATCATCCAACCCCACCAACAGGCACAAAGGTTCCAATTTCTCCAGATCTTTGCCAACATTTGTAACTTTCTTTCTTTCTTTTTTTCCCCTTCCTACTGGGAATTAAACCCAGGAAGTGCTTAACCACTGAATCACATCACCAGTCCTTTTTTATTTTTTATTTCGATACAGTCTCACTAAGTTGCTTAAGGTCTTGCTAAGTTGCTGAAGCTGGTATATTTTCCATTTTGGAAAACAACAACAAAACAAAACAAAAAAAACATTAGCCATCATCTTATTCTGTTTGGCTGCTATAACAAAAATGTCGTAGCCTGAGTAATTTATAAACAATAAAGACCTATTGCCCACAGATCTGGAGGTGCTGGCAGATTTGGTGTCTAGCGAAGGCCCATCTCTGCTTCATACATGGTGCTTTCTTGCTATGTACTTGTATGGCAAGGGCAACCAAACACCTAGGGCTTTATTTATAAGGTCACTAATACCATTTATAAGGGCTCATCCCATATGACCAAATCACCTCCCAAAAGATCACTTAATACTGTCATGCTGGGGCAGTAGGTCTTAACATATAAATTTTAGGGACACAAACATGCAAACCTTAGCAGCCATCTGAATGGGTGTGACGTGTCTACATACTGTCAGACCCTCTACACACCTCTTTTATTGATATAACAAAGAGTTTTCAAAATTTGATAATGACAGGAAAGATTTGAATAATGCAACTAATGGTCTTGATTTAACAAACACACAGAATCCTCTATCTCTCATCTAGATTACATTGATAATTTTAAGAAAGATACCATTTACCACATCAAAATAAATTCACTGAAAAACAAATCTTTTGATAGAAATGCACAACCTTTACACAGAAAACTTGAATTGCAGACTGAAAGGCATTTAAAAGACCTGAATAAATAGAGGGGTTCACAACCGGGGAGACTCGATCTTACAAGATGACAGTTCTTTCCGGATTCTATGATAGAGTCAATGCAACTTCTATCACAGTCCCAACAGGGTTCTTTGCAAAAGTTACTAAGTGAATTCCAAAATTTGTATGGATGAGAAACGGGCTAAGAATAGCTTCAGTGCTCTGAAGAGGAAGAGCAGGCTGGGGAGCTTGATGGGTATTAAGACTCGTGCAGAAGCTGAAGGAAGTAAGACAGTGTGATATTAGTGCAGCGACAGACAGACAGACCAGTGGAGTGAGAGAAGCAGAACAGAAACTCGATACATGTCACAGGTTAGACTGCAGCTCCCGGGGAGAAAGATGGGGTTTTAAATAAATGATGCTGGGACCACTGGGTATTCCCTGAGGGAAGAAAGGAAATAGGATCAGTGGTCCCAGCCACCCCGTTCCAGGGACATTAATTCTTAAAAGAGCAAAATCAAACTGGAAACACTCTGAAGAGGATATGGGAGCATATTTTTATTGCCTTAAGACAAACAAGACATGAAAGGCACAAATCATAATGGAAAACACAGAAAAATAAACTATATTAAAAGTCATATTTCTGTTCACCCGAGGGAAACCAAAATAATGTCAAATGACAAGAGCTTCGCTGAAAAAGAAGACACAAGCAAAGCAGACACCCAACAAAGCATTAATGTCCAGAGGGGTAAAGAATTCCTGAAATCGGTAAGAAACACCGCCCAACAGGCCAGGTGCAGGGAGAGCTGTACTTGTAGAAATGGAAATGTGAAGACCCCCCCACACCCACACCCACACCCACACCCACACCCACACCCACACATGACTGTTCAGCCCCGTGGGGCCGCAGAGAAATTCACCACTGAATTGTTCGGAGATAACCGCTTTCCCCTCACCATATTAGCAAAAATGTGATTTTGCCAACACCGCGCGCTGGCCAAGACGCAGAGCTACTGGGTTTCTTATAGACAGTGGGTGGTAGCTACTCAGCTCCCAATTCTACAAGACGTACCACAGACTGAGTGTCTTGAGCAACAGAATCTAATTCCCCATAGTTCTGGAGGGTGGAAGTCGGCATGGTGGGGCTGGCCAGCGCTCTTCCTGGCCGTCTCCCAGGGTGGGAGATCATCCCCTGCACCCCTTCTGGTAAGGGCCCGGATTCCATCTGTGAAGGCTCCACTCTTGTGACTTACCAAGGACCTCATCTCAAATACCATCACCCTTGGCATATGAATTTGAGGAGGCGCAAACACTGGTTCCACAGTAATTGAATAATAAATTGACATAAATGCTTGGGAGGACTGTTTAGTGATATCGTGCCAAGTTGAAGACAGTCATGCCCCATGACCTGGCCATTTCACTCTTAGAACATATACTCTACAACAGTGGTTCTCAACAGGGGTGGCGCTGCCCTTGGGGGACATTTGGCACCCTATGGAGCTGTCACACCTCAGGGATGCCACTGATCTATTGGGTGGTGGCCGGGGACACTGCCATGCTTTGTATGATGTCCCTCCTCAAAGAATTATCCTACCGGAAATGTCAATGGCTCTGAGAAAGTCTCCTGGCCAAGATTTGCAGGTTTCCTAACCTCCTCCTACCTGGATTCACCAGGCTGCTACTTGTGGCTGTGTTTATCTGCCTGCTACTGAGCACATTCAGCCAGGGTTTGCTCCACTCCAGCCCCTCCCCGCCTGCCCTGGAAGCACAGTCCATCACCCACTGCCAAGAGAGCGTTCCTACAGGACAGGTCACTTCAATGACCCAGTCTGGGGGCCCACTTAAAGAGCCCTGCTCTGTCCTTTTGAGGACAGGCTCTAGTGGCCAGGCTCTCCATCTCCCTGTTCTTGTCCAATACAACACCTCTGTCTATGCCCTCCCTTCCAGCTGCTCACAAAGGCCAAGTCAACTGCAGTGGTGCCAGGCCCTGTGTGCCAGGTATGCTAGTGTGGCCTTGCCAGGCTTTCCCACCTTGCCCGCCCTCAGAGGGTAGTGGGCCAGAAATCCAGGTCTGGGGCTTCGCACTTCTGCTCTCTCTGCATGTGCTCTTCCCCCTGCCTAGGGTGCCTGCCTCCCCTGCCTTCTCCAACGTTAGCCAAAGTGTTTCCTCCGCCAGGAAGCCCTCTGGGTTCAGGAGTGCCCTTGGGAGTTCCTTTCTCTGCGCTTCCAGGCTGGCTACCCCATCACAATGGCACTGGTCCTCTTCCTCCCATGGGCCCAAGAGCCCTCGAGGGCAGAATAGCTGTTTCCCCGCTGTGTTCCCGGTGCCTGGGCAGAGCACCTGCAGACCCTGGTCACTGATGGGACGTGACTGTCTTGATGGCTTAGATATTAGGTGACTCCTGAAAGCTCAGGTGTGACACACACAAGGATTTTCAAGAGAAATGGTTACATCATCAGAGCTTTAACGTAATGTGGAGTAACCCACCAATGGACAGGGAGGCTGTGCCTGGAGGAAGTAGGTCATGGGGGTGTCCCTTCAGATTTGTATTTTGTCCCTGGTGAGCAGGAGCGCTCTCTCTCTCCTCTGTCTCTCTCTGTCTCTCTCTCTCCCTTCCCAGTTGCTGTGTCCTGAGCTGCTTTCCCTGCCACGCCCTTCCTCCAGGAGGTTCTGCCTCACTTGGGCCCAGGCTGTGGAGTCCACTCATGGTGGACTGAACCTCTGAAACCATGAGCCCAAATTAACTTTTCTTTTCTACAATTTTCTTTTTTCTTCTACATTTTTTTTTTTTTTTTGTCACAGTGGTGAAAAAGCAGACTAACCACCCCTGGGTTAGTCCTCTACTAACGCCCTACTCATGCCCTTCCTCAAGATGGCTTCCTTTCAGCCGAAAGGTCAAATCCAAACTCTGGGCCTTCCAGGCACATTGGTTCTCCCTGGGGCGTTCTTTCCTTTGTTTTCCTTTCCTCCTTTCTGGCAAGTTAACACTCCCCAAGAAGGCTCCGCCTAGCTCCAGTGACAGGGTTCCCTTGCACTTCCCCTGCTCCATAGCATGACCACAGCTCTAGATAAATAACTATAAATGTAAAATGACTTGAGAAACATCCCTACCCAGAGTCTGTGATGTGGAAACTTATTTAGACAAAGTTTCTTGGCAGATGTTATAAAGTTAAGGGTCTTGAGATCATCTTGGATAATCTGGGTGGGGCCTAAAGTCAATGACAAATGTCCTTATAAAAGACAGAAGAAGAGATGCAGATGCAGGGGAGGCCACATGGAAATGGTGGCAGAGACTGGAGGAGGCAGGTCCAAGCCCAGGAGCAGCTGAGCTGCCAGAAGCTGAAAGAAATGGGCAGGAGCCTCCTCGGGAGCCCCAGGGCAAGCACAGCTCTGGGGGCACAGGCAAAAGGGCAAGGAAACCAAAGTGGGTTTTTTCAGTATCAAGGTGCGTGGCAAGTTATCATGGCAGCTCCAGGAACTGATCAGATTCACACATATTAACCCAAGCCTCTGAGTGATAACACCATCAGTAGATTGAGGAAAGCCAAGGCTCAATAACTTGCTCAAGGTCACCAGCCAGTATGTGGCAGAGCCAGCACTGGAGCCAGGCAGTCTGGCTCCTGCAGCCAAGGGCAGATTTCCTCTGCAAGCAGCGGGAATCTCAGGTTCTTCCCTGGCCAGAGGCCCTTCTCCAGCACCCCCAGAAGTGACCATCCCACCACAGGACACAGTGCTCCAACCTTCTCAGAGAGGGGTCTTCCTGATGTGACCATTGTTCTTGATGCTGAGCTGAGAGAACGTTCCTGTGACATCCAGACAGAGCAGCTTTGGATGAGGACACACTCTGGGTGTGCCTGCTGTGTCCCAGGGTCCCCACTCATTCTTAAGAAGGAGATCATGGTGGTGTCTGTCTCCCAGGATGGCCCCAGGGTCATGCAGTGACCACCCAGTGGCAGGAGAGGTGGACTCACTGCTAGGCTGGGAAGCTCCACAGCAGACCCTTCCAAGGGGGAAGGCTGAAGCTATGGGGTCACATGGTCCTGGGGTTTGGGTATTTTGGGAAAGTGAGATATTTGAGCTGCAATTCGTTCAGTCTGCTGCGAGGGCTGCCTCAGCAAAGCGTCCTTTATGGGATGGTTTCAACAACAGAGGCCTAGTCCCTCTGAGCACTGGGGGCTGAGGTGCAAGATCAAGGTGTAGGCAGCACCGATTCCTCCGGAAGCTGCTCTCCTCGACAGCAGGGGGACATTGTCCCTGTGTCCTCTCATGGTGTCCTCTCTGCTTGTCAGTGTTCCGATCCCTTTTACCAGGACATGGGCCACACTGTAAGAGGCTCTGCTCTAGTACCTCGCTTTACCTTAAGGACCCCTATAAAGACCCCGTCTTAAACACTGGAAGTGCAGGGGAATAGGACTGCACACGTGGGTCTCAGGGGAAAGGGCTCCCTCTCACCCTCTAGTCTCTTTCCCTCTGACTTCCTGTCATCACACCTCCTCTTGTATCTGAAGTGGTTGGAGAGGCCGAGAAGATTTGGGGGATGCAGATGAAGGGACACTGAGTCGGGGTGCCTTGGTTGGCGTTCAGTGGGGTGTGTTTATATGGTCTGAACCAATCTGTGCAAGTCCAGTTACTGTTGGCTGAGAGGTGCCATGGCTTCCAGATGTGCCTCCCACCCGTTGTGCCAACCCACAGGTATCAGGCCAGGAATGTATTCTATGGTGCCCGGCGTCAGAAGTATACAGACAGAGGAAGAGACGAGAGGCTTAAAGCACAATCCTCCCAGTGCCGAACAGGGGTCTGCAGACCTTCAGAGCCACAGGGCAACCTGGGATCACCTGATCTGGGACCCATCCGGCTTCGGTTCTCTCTGGAGTCACTTGGGGCACTCAGTCAAATGCCAGTCCCTAGGCCCTGCACCTTAGGCTTTGTTCAGCAGGACACAGGAGCCCAGGCACCTGCACTCACCATCTTCTTCCTCAGGTGCCCGCGATGGGGGCTGAGGGTTAGGATGCACTGAGCGAACCCTCTGCAGGTTTGAAACTGCACAGTTGCCTTTTGTCGTGAAAATTATTAAAATCACAATAAGAAAACTGGAGGAAATGTAATTCTTCCAAAACTTAGCATTCATTTATGGTAGAAAGAAGGTAGTTTTTCCCAATTTGAAAACAATTCCCAAAAAGCACATGCCACTGCCATTAAAGAGCCAGGAGGCTGGGAGCAGGTTTTCTAACCCTAACCCTATTTTGTTTTCCCCAGCATTACAGGAGAACTCTGCCTTGTCTTTCTGCTTTGTCCTTAGAAAAATATAAAATTATTATTCCACGAGGAGGCAACCAAAAGGATGAAGCTGAAAAATGTAGAAAAAGGAAATCATACAGGTGCATGTCAGAGAGTTAGTAAAATTATGTATTTTTTTTTCCTGGATTTTGTAATGTTTGTGATATTGGCCAACTTAAAGCATTAAAATTGTTGTGTTTTGTTATTATAAAAATTATTATTCTAAAGAATAATCAGAGCTGGGCATGATGGCGCACGCCTGTAATTCCTGTGGCTCAGGAAGTGGAGGCAGAAGGAGCGAGAGTTCAAAGCCAGCCTCACTGAGCAACGCAGTGAGACTCTGTCTCTAAATATAATGCAAAATGGGCTGGGGATGGGACTCAATGGTTGAGCGCCCCTGAGTTCAATCCCCAGTACCAAAAAAAAAAAAAGAGAGAATAATTAGAATATTCTAATAATAATTATTCTAATTATTATTCCAAGACTTGTACTTGTAATTTTACATTCTTTTTTCAGGTCCTCTGTAACCTGGATCCACCAGGGCTGGTAGCCTGTTCTCTCTTCCTCACCAAAGGAGTCCTGTTGTTCTCAGGCAGCAGCATGCCCCCCTTATTTATTTATTTTAAAATTTCCCAGCCTCCTTGGAAGCCAGGGCTAGCCCCGGGATACTGTTCTGGCCAACGGGATAGACGAGGCCTCTGGCGGAGCTTCCAGGAAAGCACTAAAGGAGCTGTCCAGGGGTGTGCCTGTTGCTCTCCCCTTCTTGACTGGAATAATGATGGGATGCTGGATGAGAGGCAGGCATCTCGCCACCTCAAAGATCCTGTGAGAAAGAAAATTACATGCTAAATATGAAGGAGTGAAAGAGAGATACAGGGAAGGACCACAAATCATTGAGTTTCTCAAGTGAGACAAAATGTTTCATTTAAGCCACTGTACAATTGTGACTGTACATTATCCTTAACTGATACACATGTTTCAAAGTACCACAAACTGGGTGCTTAAACAAAAGGGAGTTACTGTCTCAGTTCTGAAGTTTCCAGGGGCAGCAGGGTGGCTTCCTCGGAAGGTGGTTGGGAGGTCTCTTCCGGACTTCCACCCCTCCTCTCATGGCTTGCTGCCCATCTTGAGCTCCTCGGCTAGCTGATGAGCCATGGACCTTGGCCTGCTCTCCCTGTGTGTGTCTATGCCCACACCAAGTTCCCTGCTCTAAGGGCGCCAGTCAGCTTGGATTAGGGAGCAAAGTACTCCAGTAGGTCACCCCTTAACTAATGACCTCTGCAGTGAACCCATGTCTAAGTAAGGTCACATTCTGAGGTACAGGAGAGTTAGGACTCCAACACATAATTTTGGGGAACTGGGGAGAGACACAGTTCAGCCCATTACACATGGATCTCATCCCTGATGCCTCTCCCTCTGTCCATGGGTAACTCCTTCCAGTTCCACCACATGGACCTCTCTGATGCTCAGCCTTCCTTCACCACCATGGCCCCCCCCCCACTGTGCCCTGCATCTACACTTGCGCTCCAGGCAGCCTTTGGTGATACTCTCAGATCTCTGCACAGATGCTCCAGGATCCTGGAGGTCTGCAGTACCCCTCCAGTCTGGTTAGACAGGAAGTGGCTCCCTTTGGTCAATTAGATGAGAGGGCGAGGGATGTGTGTCTATTTGGGGTGGGAGCTTTTAAGCAGTATAACTTGTCACCTTTCATTCCTATTGCTGCACTGACTTTGCACACTCAGTTCAGCAGAGCTCCATCAGCGTGGGCTCCTGACTACTGTGAGCAGAGCCCCAGTGGCTAGCTAGGAGTGTGAGCAGGAAGCCAGCCAGAGAGATTTGGGCTTGTTAGTGTGGCTCAACTGATTGGTATGTGTACAAATGTAAAATGGATGGTGGTCCCACTGACCCCTTTCCAGGCAAGACTGTCTCAGGGTAAACTCCAAACTCCTTCCCATGGCCCACAAGGCTTAAAAGGGCTGGCCTCTGCCCCCTCCCACACTCGTCTTAACACACCCTCCCATTCACTTCTCTGTTGCCAGAGACTCTTACTCTTCTTTCAGATTCTCAAATATGTCCATTCTCTTCAGTCAAGATGAAGGTGCTTACTGAGCCGGTCCCTTGGTGTGGATGGATGCCCTGCATATGAGGCAAGCACACTACCCACAGAGCTATTCCCAGCCCCCCTTGTGTCCTTCCTGGTAGACTGTAAGCTCCAGATGGGCAGTGGCTTCCCCTCTGTCCTTCACCATGGCCTCCCTGCATCTTAGGCACTTCCTGGTAGATAGTAGAAGCTTGATAAATACTCTGGATCCACAGTGAATGAATGGATTCCTCGCCCAGCCAAATCCTACCTCCTCCAGATCTGAGCTCCACAACACATTGTTCATTCAACTGTTGCTTGGCAAAGGGGGACTCCCTCGGATGGAATCCGGGCTCTGCCACCTGCTATCAGTCATCTTGATCATTTCGCTTTAATCTCTGACCTTCAGACTTCCCCGGTGTACAAAGGGGGAAATATCACACGTGATTGTTGCATCTTCCCTGGCCACGGGTGGTCTGGGATGGCCGTGATCCCACGTTAAATATACACGCCCCCTCACGGTTGTGACCCCTGCGGGCAGGGACGAGCTTCCTGGGCTCTTTAGCTTTAACTGGAAAGCCCTTTCCGGGTGTCGCTCCCACCCAGGAAGGCGCTAGTTCTGGGACCCCGGCTCTCCCTGCCGGCCCGAGAGCCAGTGCGCACGCTCGGGCGCCGCGCCTCTCCTAGAGGAGGCAAAACCGCTTCGGGCGTAGGCCCGGGGCGGGCAGGCGGGAGCCACGCCCTCCTCCCTGACTGGCGGAAAAACGGGCCAATCGGAGAGGCGCCGCGGGGGAGGGGCGGGGCTGTGCTACGAGCCGGCGCCCGTTGGCCGCGGGAGCTGCAGCCGCGAGCGTGCGGCACGCGCCGGCCGCCTGCCCGAACCCGGTCCCGTGTAGCCGGCCCTCGACCCCCGCCGACCGAGCCGCGCGCGCCTGCCCTGTCTCCTCAGTTGCATTTCACGATTTTTTTTTTTTTGCACGCATTCATTTTCTGTTCCATTTAGTCCTTTCTAAGGCGGCGGCGGCAGCGAGAGCGGCGAACGCTTGGGGCGGGGAGGGGGCGGCTGGAGGATGCGGCGCGGGACTGCGCTCACTACGCCCGCTGCTGCTGCCCGGCTCAGGCCGGAGCGCCGAACAGGTGGGTGCAGGTGCGCCGGGAGGCGAGAGGCGAGCATTGGCAGAGGGTCCCGCAGACCCCAGGATGGGTGGGCGGACCTGGCGGCAAGGGACCAGGCGACTGGTGCCCCGCCCCATCGCCCACTTTCTCCTCTTCCAGCCATCGCCACCCCTGTTTGACCCCCTTCTACTTGTGCATCCTACCCCTTGGTCCCCCACCGTTCCGTTCCCATCCCCCTCCTTTCTTGAAGCCCCCCGAAACATCTCCCAGTCGCTACGTCGCTTCCAACGCCCCATCTCGGTCCGCCTCCAGCCTCCCTTCTCCCTCTCGCCACCGGTGTTTCCACTCCTCTCCCCATTCCGCCCTCGAGACAAGGGGTGGGAGGGGGGGCCCACCCGGTGCTCCCGGGAGAGGCGCGGGGGGGCGTGGTTGGCCGGTCTCTTAGGTGTCCTCCCGGTAGGTCATAGTCCCCCGGACCCTGTCTAGGTGGCACAGAGGAAAGGGCCGGAACGCAGAGGTACCCCAGCTCGCACCCCACCCATCCCATCTCACCCCACCCCACGCACAGCACACGCCACCGCGGCCCCTGCCACGCACACCCTCGCGCTGCTCCGCCCACGTGGGCGCGGGGGAGGAGGCTGGAGAGCTGGGAAGAAAGACTGGTACCCACCCTCTTGCCCGGCCGGCGCGCCCTGGGCGCATTGGGCCTCCCGGATGGTGCGCAAGAATTGGCTCCAGCGGTGCTGGTCACCTTGCCTGGCGCCCAGCGTTCAGGCCATCGACCTCCTGGTCTGTGTCAGTGAGTGGCAGCCTCGCCTTCCTGGCCCCTTGCTCCATCCCTCCAGCCACGCTGCTGTGGGCTTCTGAGGATCCAGCCTCGTCACCCTATAGAGGCCGCTTGCCAGGCCGGAGGCTTGTGCCTTAGAAACCCCTCTCTTCACGCATCCCAGCCTTTCCTCTCCTGAGGCTTGGTCAGCCTCGGGCCTTCGGCCAGCCTCTGCCGGGCTCTTTAAGCTCCAGGATACTGTATCTGATCGCTAGCCCTCCCCCGCCCCGCCCCTGCTGTGCACTCACAGGCATACTGGCCTTGGCCTTTCTTTGCTCCAAACATTCCCTCTGGGGAGCACCCTCCCTTTATCTGATGAACTCTTTACAGACCAAGGTCAGGGAGAGACCCTTGCCCCTCTTGGGATTCTGTACAGCAGGGCCGGACACTGCCCAGTTACCAAGCATGGCCTGTGCCACCCAAACTAGAAGGGGAGGTGAGCAGGACAGGAGCAGCGGATGTCATCACCCCTAACTCAGGGCGACCGGCTGGTGTGGGGGCGAGGCTGTGGGAGGAGCTGGCCCTTTCTCCAGGGCCAGGTGCTTGTGGGGGATGAGGGTCCCGTTCCATTCACTGGGATGGACAGCGGGCAGGGCAGGTTTGGGGATGGGGTGCCTGGTCAGGACCCCCCTCCTGCCCCCCACCCCTCTAGGCTCCTTGCTTTGCAGGGCATTGTCAACTCCCTGGAAGCCTCAGACGTTCAGGTCTGGAGAAGGCTGGGCACCACCCAGAGGAGGTGTGTGGGGTGTTGCAAAGTGTTTGTCTTTAAGACCTGTACAGGTCTGCAGTGCTGGACATCTCTGCTCCAGAGTTGGGGGGTCACTGTCACCTGAGGCTTTTCACAGCAAGAAGCCCTCATAGCGACACAGTGTGGACCCCACACGTGAAATGATTACCATTTTCCTCCTTCTCAGACCATCCATGGCTTCCACTGCCCCCATGAGCTCACAGGTTCCTCAGCCAGTCTGTCCTCCTCCCGCCTCCCTGTCACAGCCACATGTGCCATCTTCTTTCTGTGTCTTCACAGGTTTTTTCCATACATGTTATTTTTTTCCTTCGAAATAGTTTCTCCTCTGGCCTCTGGAAAACTCCCATTGACGGGATAAGATACTCTGGCTTTCCCTGGTTCTGCCAGAGCTGCCTCTCTCACTGTGCTTCTCGCTGGCATGTGTGGTTTTTCCTTAAGCAGATGGCACTCATAGAGATGGCATGACAGGTCTGAGGCCATCCCCCTTCATGGATCTTTCTTCCTGGGGAGGTGCTACCTGCCCTGTAGGAGGGACACAGCCCAGTCACCAATGGGACTTTCTGCAGGGAGAGAGCATGATGGGCAGGCTTTCCTCTGCCTGATCAGAAAGGCTTCATGAGGAGGTGGAGGACCCAGCCCTGCTCTCTTGGTTCATAAGGCAGATGAGGGGACATGTGTGGCTATTGAGCCCTTGCAGGGCAGATCCTGCCCTCCACTTAGCTGTGATTGACAGGTGCTGCCATCCAAGTCTTCTAATTAAACGTCCTCCTTTAGAGAGAGTGGAGATGCCGGCAGCATGTCTCCAGTTCTCCTGGACTGGTCTCCTCCCCCACTGGACACCTTGGATGGGTGGTGGGGTCAGTCTGCAGAACTTCTGCAGGTAGACTCACCTGTGCCCTATTTCTTATTGCTGTGTGGTCTTAAGCAGAGGAGTAACCTTTCTGAGCCTTCATTTCCTGTATAAGTGGTCTCTTTTTGGCTGGATTAGTATAGGGTCCTTGGGTACAGGTGACACTTAATCAATGGTCCTGTTGATGAGAAAGTGTGCAATGAACTGTGGAAAAGATGATTCCTTTAGATTTGTCACACGAGATGCCCAAGTTGGAGGACCTCTTTTGTCCTTTTCTAACATTGGAACTCATGATCACAAGCCCAGAGAGCAGGGCAGGGTGGGGAAGCTGTTGAAGATCAGCTTACACCCCATGGGCTCTGTGATCTCTAGCAAGTCACTTGCCCTCTCTGTGCTCAGTGCCTTTT